ATGCTAAAGACACTTCTGTTTCACTGTGACTTCAAGAGTACGCTTTATTTAGAATATTTTCACCGCTTTATCGTGCCGACAGACCGCCCATTCCAGACGGGGAACTGAACTGAAAGTGAAACTTATCCATGTTTTCTTCAAAGCCAACAGACTCCATTAACAAAACAGTATAGATAAGTTTCACTTTCAGTGCAGTTCCCCGTCAAAATATTCTAATTATAACGTATACTTAAACTGATAAAGATTTTTTTCAGGTCCACAGCAGTACACTGCTTTGCTTCCATGTCTGTGCTCCTGCGTGCCTCTCCATAGCCTGTGATACACTATCTCATACAACCCCACTTCAAATAATGCGACCTATCTCTTTAAGAACAGTGTCGATTTTTCAGCTATGTTTTTCCACTTTTTGACTTGTGGCTAACCCACTGCTAAATGCTCACCTGCCCCCTGCCTTAAGATAAATATTCCCTGTGGTTTCTGGGAGATCCTGGCTGTGACTGCTTAACCAGACTGGCTACAGAGCAAAGTTCCACTCCTGCACCAACTTAGGAGGCAACTACTTAGCATGAGGGAGAATGTGAGCTATTCTGATGTGGGCAGTCTACCTACTCGCTCAATCTGACCTTTACATCAGAGCTTTTATTACACTGGCGTCACTGGATAACTTGTCACTGATGTTATCTCTAACATAATGAACTCTGTTTTGCACAAATAAAAAAAGTATGCATTTTATTTGACATGGCATTCAATTAAATGTCAGTTACCGTAGCCTTTCAGATGTTTTTCCCTCTTGTGTGCTGGCACAGTTTCACTATAAAGTCACATTTCAGGATTTTAATTTCACAGTAATTCCTCACAATGTATCAGATGTATCAGTTCATCTAACTGCTTAATCTTTCAATAAAAGGTTGCCCATTCGAAGCAGTGCTCATTGTATTTATTGCCATGGCTATATGGTTCCTTCAGAACGACAACTGCACTAAAGCAAAACAACTCTGGGGCTGTACTGGTGCGTGTGTGTTGAAGGTAGCTTACTGCTCAACCAGAAGAATTATGAACCAACAAGTCCAGTTTGATTCTTTGAGAGTCATAGAGATTTAAGGATTAGACAACTCTAGGCCTCAAAGAAGCTTAGCTCAATGCAATTCCACCGGGTTTGTGGGCTTGCACATATTTGATTGGTCAACAAACTGTGTTTCCAGATAACATTGCATTCTGTTGCGGCAAAACTAGAGTCCAATTATTTTACCAAACTACCTTATGCCTCTCAGTGTGAAAATAAGACTCACCAAAACCGTCACAGTTAGCCAATCCACTGTTCTAACAATCAGCAACTCTTGGTTGGTCAAAATAAAGTTTGATGTGAAATTATGCACGATGTTTTTCTCCTGCTGTTTCTCTCTGCTGTGGCCTCTTTGTGCTACTGGGTTAGCTATCTGGATGGGAGTCCAGTCGTCCAACCCTACTTTATGGTAGTTTCCAAAGGGGAAAAGTCTTTTGGGTATATCTAAAAATATATGGTTCCTGTAGCATTGTCTGTCTGATATTATGGCTCATTACATTGGCTCATATTGGTATATTAGGCCTTTCCTCGGGTTGTAGCTTAGCTTATTCTGGTGGATATTCATGTACGTATATGACCGTTTAAGTTGTCCTCCCCCCACAGGCACACCAACACTAACAACAGAGTTAAGGACGTGTCAGTCAATCACTGTCTCTGCGCGCCCACACAGTCCTGACGAGGTCTGATCGGGCAACATAAGAGAAAACACCTGTGCTGGAGGATGTGGTGTGTGGAGTGTAGTGGACAGGCTCTAAGTGTCTCTGTAAACACAAATAGTACCAAACTATACATTTTATCACTTATCAACATATTGTTTGTTAGTGTTACTAACTAATTAACAGTTTGCATCTTTGGGTTTCTCAAAATCAAGACCATTATCAGATTTCTTTAGGCAAGAGATTGACATGTTCAAACGTGTAAACAGGATCCTCCAAAAGCCTGGCCATAACTTGGCTACTATTGTGCATGCGAGCATACTTGATGTTTTCGGACTGCAGGTGGAACAGCTGTCAACAGCTTTCAGGGCAGAGGCAGTCAGGTGGAAACACTGACCAGGCCAGAGGAGTCAGGGCAGTAGGAGGGGCACCCCAAGGAGCAGGGCCTCTGAGAAGAACGGCATGTTGTTGTGCATGGAGTGATAAGGATGGTGGTGTAGGAAGGGGGTTATGGGGAATGGAGGGGGTTGATGGGAGGGTTCGAATAACTTGCAGTGGAGGTTATTTAAGCCAGACGGAGATACAGTAGCCTGTCAACTCCAGACACACTCCACCATGCCAGACGGAATTATCAAAAAACAGAGACGCATTCCACTGTGGTGCCGTCATGCAATTAGGCTGTTGATACATCGGACAACTTGTTGGGAAACTGTGACTGACGGCCGTCGCAGAGGAACATTTCGGTTTTGGCATCTCTTTGGAGATTTTGTACTTGACATCTCACACAACTGCATGAGAAAGTACTAAGCCCCAGTGTATTGGAGCATGTCTTCAATTTAGGCACTGCCTCTTGTCATATCAGTGTATCAGCTGCTTCTGTTGCTAAAAGGGACCAAAACATATAATCTGATAACGGTAATTTCCTGTAGAACTATCATTCCTATATTCCAGATGGGGTAACAGCTCTAAAAGAGACTTCAATGACGCCAAGGTGACTTGCACATCAACAACTTTGTGAATCTAATGAGCCACCCGAACAAAGCGATGGCAGTCATCCAGTGGTCGGAAGCATCCGCTACTGGTGGATACTCCAATTAGATAATGCCTTAACCTTACTAGCCTTTTTGGGGCTTTGTTAGTTTCAAATTACTTGGTTTGGTTTGGAATTGGGGTCTGTAGGGCAATATTGACTTATTGCAAAAACATCCATATCAGTTAACAAGACATTGCAGTACAGAAATGCCAATAAAAATATGTTTAGCCTGTTTTAAAAAAGGAGTCACGCTCAGTATATCTCTCACAAAAATCAAATATCGGTTTGGTATCATTGCATCTCAGGGTAATGTTTGAATCCAAAAATCTACTATCTGAACTGAGCTGTGATACAATCAGCATGTGTGTAACTCTTGGTCCAATTTCAGCCCAATAACATGCTGCACACAGCATTTTAGAAAGTTTAAAAACGTTAAGATGCGTTAAGGGTCAAAATAGTTTTTGCGGGCAAACGCAGAATATGCTTCCTTCAACAGAAACGAAAAGCAGACCCCAAACCGAGCAGAAGGCTTGTCTTCATACAATGACACAATTAGTCTTGGATAAGGGGGGTGGTAGAGAAGGAGCAAAGACGAAGGGTGCTTTTAGGGGTCGACGGTTGTGATAACCCCGTGGCATAATCTTTCAAAGCTGGAACAGACAGAGTTCTCTGATAGTAATAAAAGAAGGATGAAGGACACAAACAAGTCAAAAGCCTGCTGGAATCATAAAGCTGGCCCTGTGCTATTGTTTGTCAGCCATCTGCAGAATAGATGGTGTTGGTACATGGCTAACTGGGGAAAATTAAGTAAGTAGGGATTCTCCCCCGTGTGCAGTGTCAGAAGAATGATGGTATAAGGGGTGCAAAGGGGCAGAATACAGACATACACAGGAAGGAAAGGAAATCAGTGATGACATCCTGTTTGTGTTTATCCTCATCAAAGGGTCATCTTATTCTGGAAGCACTTCATTTGAATCTTCTGTTAGAGGCCATCATTATATTCTTCCTGTTTATCAGCCTCTGTCCTCATGCTCTTGCTCAAAGAAAGACCATGGAAACTGTCGGACAGTAATCGGATTAGCCCGGGCACTTGACAGATCATGAGTTCTTTTGGAGCAACCCCGCCACTGGCTCACTTCTGCTGATACTTCATTGCGGTCAACAATATCGTGGAGTGTGTAAGATCAGAGTTCAGCTTAGAGAGATGAACAATTAAGCTTTTCTATCAAGTTTTGATTGCATTTACATAACGCTATCAACACCTTCTCCTTTGCTGAGTCCTGTAGCTGTTATTGTCGTGTTAATGCTTGACCAGTCCCAATTTCAAACACTGTACTTTTAAATAGAAATGCTGCATACAGCGCACTGAGAACGTCATAAACAGCCTTTTTTTAAACTGCATTAATTTTTTGCCACTGGGAGGCAGCAAAGCAAGCTACCGTAAACACAACACTTTTATAAAGTTATATCATATATATAATTGAAAGTTCTGTGGTATAATAACAAGTAATTCCTGTAAGAGAGGGTGAGAGGTGTGGTGGATAGGTCATACAGACAAAGGACTTCTACCTAGGCGGCCGCTATTAGTGTCCTATGTGAAAGTAAATGTTGACTGTATGCTTGCTTTCGTAACATGACTTAAAGTCCGCTCAGGGCAGTTCATATTTATTTAGGGTAACTACATTGTTACATATTATTTTAACACAAACCATGTTCTTTTTTCAAGTAGCTTTGTTGCCTTAACCTAACTAATCATTTCACAACGCTAACCACATGGCATTGTGCGTTTCTGTCAGCTTGATAAGTGGCTGATATGAAACACGTTAATGAACCGTTTTTTGGGGTTCAGAAATGTCCAATTTCGACGTATCCCGTGGTTTGCAATGTCAAGATTTATTCTGGTTACTGGGTTTTCTCACTGGGAACATCTGTCTGCTGCTGCTGGTAATGAGGGTGATGTGAACCCTTTCACATTTGACATAGTCATTTTTATTAATATTAAAAATATTGATCGGTGCAGCTTTAAGTCTAATGAAGCCTGTCCCTCCTTTATGGTTTGCATCTGCGTCTACATACAGTAGCTTTGGAATACGACATTGGCGGCATGTTGGGCTGAATCGTGTTGTTCATAAAGCCGAACCTAAATGCAAACCAGGAATGTTTCAAGTCCGTGGCTGTTTATAATATCATGTAAAAAATAACTGCATATAAGCAACAATATGACTAACCATTTCTATTTTTTTCTTAGGTGTCTTCATCTTGTGTTCCTGCAACAAACTATGAGCTGGTAAGTAACACTTTTTTTTTTTAGTTTTAGTAATTGCTTCCATGCTGTACGTGCTCAGCAGGCATTATTGGCTCCTTCCTGGTGCGGAATTATTGCAAACAGGGTCGGAAACTAACAGCCTCTATCAGCTACACTAACAAGGTAGTTACCGTTGCACGTAATGAACCATTATCTGGAGGGCCCCTGAGACAAACCTGTGATCTTGGGCGATGTAAATGTATGAGAATTTACTCAACCTTTTGCAGCTGTTTTTTTTTCCCGTTTTTCAAAAATTGTAAAACGAGGGATTTTTGGATCTATTAGGTGCTGTGGCATGAAAAGAAAAATCAGACAACAAAGTTCAATAAAAAGCTGTGTCCTTGAATCCGCCATATCACGATGACGTCTTTTTGGTGTTTGAGTCTGAGTATGAAAGTGATTTTGCAAGGGCAATAAAAAGACATGCTTGCTCCGTTGCCTTTTTTGGTATTGGCATTAGAAGCCGTGTGAGACTTGGAGATTACCAGCTCACTCTCCTTCTCGTATATTGTGTGTTTAAATGGTTTTGGGTGCTTGACAAACCAAAGCAAACATCCCCTGCACTTTTCTACGCTCACAGAGAAAATATTTCTGGAAATGTCTTGTTTTTCTTTCATAAAATCTGCAGTGATCAAGCAAGAACATGTTATTATCCTCTGCAGATGCTTTCACACTAGATGCTTTCTACATGAAGACATCTGTTTTAGATGTGCAGCCGCCTGGGCTGAGCTTTCTGGGTATTTTTTTGAAAGGGCTGCTCTGCTCTGCGTTGGCCTCCATATGACATAGACATTACACTTCACTGACTTAACCTGTAGTCTGTTATTAATGCTGCTACTTCACTGCTGATAGCTCAGACCATTTGTCCTCATGTCAATCAACTTGCACCGATAAAACGGGACTGCAGTAATCACAACACTGCATTAGATCTGCAGTCGGACAGTATACAGGACAATGTTTCTTCGTGAGTTTTTCATTGAGTCAATGAAGAATACAATGTGTTCCTCCTAGTAGATTATATGTTTTTAATAGAATACAATGGAGTGAATAGAAGCCGCAGGGCATCTGCCTCCATTTTATCTCTTTGATCTTGGCTCGCCAACAGGAGTCTCCCCAGAGGCTTTTGACGCTGCATTAAAGGTGCTGATTGCTCTCATAAATGCTGATAAGATGAGGTGTAAAACATTTGCTGTTTTGCCTTTACCGCCGAGGAGAGAGGAGACATAAGAAAACTGCCTTTCAAGGCCCAACAATGGTCATGCTGTCTGGTGGCCTGGTAGCCGAAATGCATGGACAGCATCGCCATTGCACAAATATGAGATATAATAATATAGATGTGGACTGAATGCATTGCTTTTATCCACCTGAAGGTGAGTTAGGGTACGGGCCTCCTGTGCTGGGTTCCAAGTTCTATGAAAGTACATATTACAAATATAAATAAGTCATTCTACCTGTGCGTACAGTGTGTGTAAGCCCTCTGGAGGCTCTGTATCACAGGAGCTTGGATGACGCTGTTTGTGTTCTTGTGTGGACGTGCGAGCGTGCATGCCTTCGAGCGTTCCCAGCTGCAGCCGTCCAGCCCGAGGTGTGTGTCAGCTCTCCTCAGCCCCTTGTTTGGTGAATTCCTCCGCACACAGCCTGAGACCAACGTGATTTACCGACCCACTCAGGTGCAGACTGATTGCAACATCGGTCATATATTAACTTAGTCGGGGAAAAATGTTTGAAAAAAACCAAACTGGAATCTAGACATTCCACTCGGATGGGACGAGCTACAAAGAATATATGGCTTTATTACCGGATAATTGTATTCGACTCTGAGTCAAACGAAAATCAAATATTTTCATGCAGCTGTTTCTTACTGCAGCTGTTTGTCTGCTCTGAGCTACTGTAGTAACGTGGCGGACTCCGTGAAGAGGACCTGCTCCCTATGTAGATATGAAGGACTCATAAGGAAAATGCAACAAATTCTTGTTATGAATATTATCTTCTATTTCTGCTGAAAGATCCCCTGACATGCTACACACTGGCCCTTTAACTGCACCAGCATGTACAATTAAAATTAGTGTAATTATGAAATTAGCGGCCTCTTAGTGCTGTTTTAAATATAGTATCTTAGTTACTAACTACAGAGTCTACAGAGGGAATTTGGAAACATCCCTCTGTTGGGAACTTGATGCCAACTGGCAGCCCGTTTATTGTAATTGATGATGTGCGGTTGGAAGATCCCATCCAACAGCGATGATGACATAAGTGACTACCCCCAATCAGACCCATGCCGTTGGACGTGCGTAACGTGCTGTAAAGCATGCGGGGAGCATTCCTCAGATGTGCCCTCATGTCGAGCCAGCTCTGACAGGAATAGGTTTTATTTTTGCACAACAACAAAGCCTGACGGAGAAGGAGAAGGAGAAAGATATCAAGGAACCTGATGACGTGGACTGCTCATCTGAACACATGCCCCCTAGAAACACACATAAAGAATTCATTCCACAAGCAAAGATATGCACACACACTCAGAAAACCATAAACCACTCACACCTACGTCATCCAGCTTCTTTTTAAAAAATATATATTTAGGTCTTGTGTAGTGGGGGAACAGGGCCAGGACATTGCTGAGTAATGACTAACTGCAGGGCAAAGATGGTCTAGATGTGGTCCAATTAGCGCCGTGTTTAGAAGCACACATATTTCCCCGATGTGCCCTGTATTACACTGTGTATACAAGCACCAACCAGGCGTCCTGTAACGATATACAGTACGATCCTAGTTCCCTGGGAATGTACTAAACCGGGCCATGAAAAACCTGTTTGATATTGAACTCATGCGTAAGTGTTTCTTATGTGTTCTACGTGATGATCCAGCATCACCAAGTGTATGTATTACATAAGCCCTAAGGGTGCTCTACGAAAGACTGGACATCATGGTCAATTTTCTTTCCCTGCAGGCATCCACATCCAAAGATAGAATGAGTTAAGTGCTGGGTCAAAGTGAGAAAGTCACTTTGATGCATTTTTCCCCCCATCTTATTTGAAGCGATTAATGATCCAAATGCACTCAGCCCTCACTCCTCCGTTAATTGGCAGAGCTTTTATTAGACAATTACCTAAAAGGAAGCAATTCGTTAATGGTTTCTGAAGCAGAGCAAGCACTGCACATTTTTCTAAAAAAAACCTTTTCAAAGAATCTTCAAACTCAACACTTTCTTTTTCTTTTTATTTCTGTAGTTGCAAGTGAATTGGAAATTGCTATTTTATACAAATGAAGTTCACTCATTTCACTCCCAAACACGCAATTTGTGGACATGATTTATATGGTTGAAATAACCGAGCCTGTCAGTTTACATTGCCGAATTACAAGCAAACAGTGGCTTGTAACCTACAGTTTTATGAAGTCAAACTGCCTAGGTGTTGCAGTAGCAGAATAATCCCAGTCCTATTCACTATGACCTATTATCATAATGGACTACCCTGCACGCTAGGCTTTAATTAACCCTCTCCAGCGTTCCCACCAGTGTTAGAAAAGTCCAGTGTGAAGAAACATCGGTCCGACTGTGGTCACCTTCAGCCTTCTTAGTTATGTCAGGCTCCCCAGACTTTAGTAACTGCTGGTTATGAAATGCTTAACATCTCCCTCCTTATACCCATCAACCCTTGCATTCTTGTGTCGTTTGAGATGTTTGTTCTAATAAACAGCCATGTTGTTTACTCGGAAGAAGACTTTTCACAGTTTTAGTGCCGCCCACGCTTTAGTAATACCTCGCTCATCCGTCCAACTAAAAGAGACTGTCCTCAGCAGAAAAACAACAGCATTGGTTGTTTGTTCAAATCTCTAAAATGACCCATGTTTTACTGACAAGGACCTTTTGTGGCTGCAAATTATGACGGTTGTCTCTCAGTGGCAAAGGCGGAGCAGTATGATGTTTGTACAGACACAATGTCATAGGTGGTTTTCTGTACAGTGAGACTTACTCCCACCAGTCGGTTTCTTTTAGCCACAACAACAACCTTCCCTTAAAGTCAGTGAGACATCTCCAGCCATGTAAGCAGCATGGCTTTAGGAATGGCAATGTCGGTTGACCACTTTGGTCCAGTTTGAAATGTCTGGTTATTCACAGTGGAGAGGATGAATCCTACTGACGTTCTGTTGTTGCCATTTGTTATTTTGAGTTAAATGTCTTGAGAACTATTAGACAGTTTACCAAGATATTTAGTACAAATAGTCAGCTCATCCAAAGGACCAATTGTAGTAATGTTAGTGATTCCTTTTCAACTTGTGCCCAGCATCACGTCAAAGTCTTGGCTTATTTGGCTTATTAAATACCTGCAAAAGATAGATGGATGGATGGATCTGTGGATAGATAGATAGAAAGATGCATGCCCGGTCTGCATGCTTGTAACAGCCAGGCGGCTGCAGCAAGCATGAACTGAGCTTTACTTTGTTGTTGTGCCCAAACCAGGACAGGATCTTAGCCAAGCCCGCAGGAAGAGCAACGGTCTTTCAACCAAATTTTTACATAGTGGCTAAACTGTGGAATTACAACTTACAGGTCAGTCACGTGATGAAAAGTAATTTTTCCCATAGCTCTTTACATTGGGAAAGAGACGTCTGTAAATCAGGGTGTATCAACTTCTCTTTAGGAAGACTGGAATAGTCCTTATTATTCATAATTATCCTTATAACCAAAAAATTCCTTCCTCTGTTAATGTGAATGAGCCCGAGGCTGAGGGCTGGGAGGCGGGGTTAAACGTAACGCCAGTGCGCTTCCTCTATGGGCCACATGGATGCAGAAGATCACATCTCGAAAGTAAAACTTTTTTGCCTCTTGTGCCACTGAGCAGCTTTCACAGGAATCAATGTGGCCATATCCAGTTCTCTTTATACATGCATGGTCCTAACCCACAGATCAGAAGATAATGTAACGCACACATACAACCTATTTTGTCCTTTGGGTTATTAACTACATTACATATCGTCTATTG